ACTCGCCAAGAAGCCGTGTACGCAAGTGAGGATCACTCGTTACGCAAAGAAGGTCCTTCCCCCGCGTGTGGACAAGCAAGTACCCCTCTTGGATCCGGTAGTGAGAAGGATTAGGAGAGGAGCAATTCGCATACTTGTCGTGAATATCGGGGTCGGCTTGGTAGTCGCGGATGAAGCTGTTCCGCAGGTCGTCGTCGATCTCGATTGTTGAGTAGACCGCGGTACAGTGATCCGGACGCCGTGAAAGAGCATCCGCAAAACGGTTCAACTTCCCGGGAATGTGATCGGGAAAGAAGTCGAATTGGTCGATGAAAGCCATCCATCGAGCAATGGTGCTGTTGACGGTGTCTTGGGTCTTGTAGAAGACCAACGGATTGTTGTCCGTTACCCAGCGAAATTGGCTTCGACCAAGGAGGAAGTGCCACCACCGTTTGAGCGCGTGGACGAAGGCGAGGAGCTCCTTCTTGCGTGCATCGTCAATGGAATGCACGAGGGGCACTTTCTTGTTGAAGTACTCAACCGGGTGCCAGTCCACACCATCATGTTGCTCGAGGACTGCACCAATGCCATAGCCTGACGCATCCGTAGTGACACACGTAGGCGCGAGCGGGTCGTAGATTCGCAAGACCTCCGCGGACAATAGCGCAGCTTTGAGAGCGAAGAATGATCCTCGCGCCTCCTCTCCGAAATCAAACGGTCGATCCTCGCACTGAAGCTTGTTCAAGTGGGCCGCGATCTTGGAGTAGCCTTTGATGAAGCGCTGATAGTAGCCGGTAAGACCGAGGAACGAGCGGACATACGTTCCGAGGCTCCGGACACTCTTGGACGGCCTGAATCTTGTCCGATAGCGGACAGATGCCCTCCGGTGTGACAAAATGGCCCAAGTATTCCAGCTCTTGCCGGACAAATTCGCACTTGTCGCGGTTGGCCTTGTACTTGGCACGGCGGAGCGTCTCCAACACTAGTCGAAGATGTCCAAGATGATCCTCAAATGTCCGGCTATAGACGAGAATATCGTCTAAGTAAAAGACCAGCACGAACCGGTCCAACATTGCATGGAACTCATTGGTCATCGCCGCGTGGAATGTCGTCGGGGCATTGGTGAGGCCAAAAGGCATGACCACCCACTCGAAATGTCCGTATCGCGTCTTGAACGCGGTCTTGTAGCGATCGTTCGGCTGGATCGAGATTTGATGATATCCCGATTTCAAATCCAACTTGGAAAAATACTTCGCGCCGCCCAGCCGCTCGAGAAGATCGTCGATGCGAGGGAGAGGCCCCGCATTCTTGACGGTTTGCGCGTTGAGCTTGCGGTAGTCAATACATAATCGTAGATCCTTGTTCTTCTTCCAAACGAAGAGAACTGGTGCTCCATATGGGGAGCTACTCGGGCGGATCCAGCCCTTGGCCAACAAATCATCGAGCTGTGCGCGGAGGACCTCAAGCTCCTCCTCGCTCATCCGATAGATGCAACCTTTCGGTGGCACGGCACCGGCCTCAAGAATGATCTCGTGAGAGATCGGCCGACCCGGCACCACGCCGGTAGGTGACTCGAAGATGTCGGCGAACTCGTCCAGCAACCGTACCACACGGGGGTCCGAAGACAAGTTCGTGGGTCAAGAGTCGGCTACCGCGACGGTCCGTAGGAAACATAAGCCGATCTCCTCAGGCTGCTCGTAAGCGCAAGTCGCCCGGAATGATTTGGCCGTCACTACTTGGCACCGGGTCGAAGAGTGTGGTAGAGGAATAGTACACGCCACTTCCACGTCGAAGGCGTCGCGAACGCTAAGAGTCCGCCGATGGAAGTTGACCGTGTGATCCGCACTTGCGAGCCAAGGCATTCCCAGAATGATGTCGAAGTCCGTGTCGAGAATATCGAATGTTACTGGTTCGCATGCATGAGGTGCGAAGTAGACCGGTACGGCCTCGATGTAACGGTCGAGGAGTTGTTGCATCTTACCATCCGCCAACTTGATCGTCGCCGGGTTTGCCTTCCTCCGAACTTGTGCGCCAAGGCCAGCTCTTTGCATAAAAGACTGGCTCATGAAGTTGCGAGACGCTCCAAGGCTATCCAGCAAAACGTTGCAGGACGCTTGCCCAACCTGAATGCGGACATACATGAGCGGTGCGTTGTTGTCATTGTACCGCTGCGTGCGAAACTCGCGGGCCACCGTGGTAATATACGCCAGGATGTCCCCCACCACAACTTCGTCATCCGTCGACGAAGTTGGTGGTGCATAGAAGGATAGGTAAGTGTGAAGCTTAGCGCTAAGTGTTGCGCATTGCGGTCCCGGCAAACAGCCTGTGGTCGGGAGAGGAAGCCATGCAAAGTCCCCAGACGTGAGCGGGTCCAATGCCTCTACATTGAACTCACGCGCCGAATTCCATGACGAACCACTTGAAGACGATCTGTCGTTGTTGCCGGAGGGAGAAGAAACCGCACACACTCCTTGTCCTTGAGCTTGAGTACCCAACGTTGGAACGAGTCGGGCAGCATAGTCCTCAAAAGAAAATAGAAGCGGAGGACTGTCGACTTCCGCGTGCGCCTCGGAATGAAGGCTGGTCACTCGCGAAGAAACCAGTTCCGAAGGCGCCGAGAGTGTCGTCGCGTCACTCTCGGCGGTACTCAGTTTCCCTGTCTGCCCTTGCCTTTCAATGGGCAAACCTGTGTCTGATGAAGATCGTTGTTGCACCGAAGGCAATWGTGGAATCTCTCGCGCGCCTTGTATGCAGACTCGGAGATGCCATACGGGGTCCATGGGCCTGTCTGAGCTGCTGCACCGGGCCCGAGGCTAGAAACGGTGTGTGTCTTCGTCTTGCCGCGCCCTCGGCCTCCGCCGCGGCGGCCACCTTCCCGGGCGGCTGCGAATCTGTCCCCTTCACTGGTAGACACAGCCTCGCTGGTTTGGTCTAACGGCGCTGCCGCTGCGACCACGGCCACTCTTGGCCGATGCTGGTCCCTGCTCGGGCCTGACGCAGATGAACGAAGGTTCTTGGCCTCCTTGTTCGTGATGATGATCTGCGCGGCCTTGTCGAACAACTCCGCCGTCGTCGTCAAGGTGTCCTGGACATGAGTCAGGGCCTTTCTTACTGTCGGACATGACCTTGAGATGTCTGGGACTGACATCAAGCGTTGGTACTCGGCGATCCAGTCCGTACTCGACGATCTGGATGTCCTTGAAGCCCATCTGGATGTCTGGGACTGACATCAAGCGTTGGTACTCGGCGATCCAGTCCGTACTCGACAGCGTGCCTTGCTCGAAGACCATGAGCTTGTCCATGGCTTTGATCTCTGGCAGCTCCACCTGGAACCGCTTGTGCCACGCCGCCTTCAGATCATCTCAGGTGATCTTGGTGTGCAAGTCGTTAGCTACCACTCCGTACTTGGACAACAGGTTGTCCAACCAAGCCTGACACGCGCCCCCTGAGCGAGAGTACAAGTAGGCGTGATGCTTGTGTTCCTTGACATTGTGGAGCTGCAGCGTGAGCTCGAACTTGCAAAACCATGGAATTGGATCTGTCTTCATGGCGTCGCAGAAGATCTCCTGCCCGTCAAACTTTGGCAGGTTGGCAGGAGATCCGTGAGATGCGAGAGGAGGAGCGCTATCTTGTTTGCGCTATTCTCCAACTGGTTATTCTCGGCCTCGGTTCGCCATTCTGCTGCCATGGTAAGTAACGCCCGCTCTCCGGTGAATATCTTCTCACGACGCTGTGTTCTTCCTTCATCGGCAGCCCTTGCTGCTGTCTCGTCATGTTGTCGCCGTTGTTCAACCGCCAGCAGACGTGCCTGCTCGGCATCCTCTGCCCTTTTCTTTGCTGCTGCGGCAGCGACATCTGCCCGCTTCTTTGTCTCGGTACTCCAGGCTAACATGCGGGCCTGATAGGCCTCGTCTGTTTCCTCAGCCTTCTGGTCCATAACTGTTGTCTGTGAACGCAACAGCATAGACCAGACCGGTGCCTGCTGCTGTGGTATCCCTTGCTGCTGACGTGGTCTACTGACGTGGCCTGCTAACGTGGCAACTTACCAATGTCACCGCAGGGGGTACCCGGATACAAACAGAAACGGCAAGGCGAGAGATGGCAACAACATACGTGGGGAGGGAGGGTGGGATAATCCCCCAACTCCGACTTAGATAAGGAGCCAGTAATCAAAGTAGAAAAGTTTGAACTTTGCAAAAAAAAAATTCGAGAAAATAAAAATCCCGATTTTTGCAAGTTCGGTAGGTCTCCCACCCTCCCTTGAAGTTCGAAATGGTCACTGAAAGCAAAAATTTTCGACTTTGGACTGCAACCGAATTATAGAACCACAAGATCTGCGAAAAAAAATTATCCGAACAAAAATGACAAGTATTCGGATTTATTCCGATGGGAATATTCGCACTTTGAAAAATAATACGTGCAGGAGGGATTTCCCGTACCGTTTTTAGAAAAATGAATTTCAAAAAAGGAGATATTATGAAGTTCTAAGTAACGGGAAATGCAACAGGAAATCGAAACTTTCGAAAAGAAAAATATTCCGGATTTTCAACAGCGAAATTTCGGATTTTCATAAAGAAAAACGAAAATAGGAATTTCAGATGTTGCGATATAGCAATTTTCCACAGCAGAATAGCGAGAAAATAAAATCCGAGAAAAGAAAAAAAAATTGATTTTTTTTTTTTTGTTGTTGTAGTAAGGTCAAGATCGTGATTTTGGGGTCTAACTAGTATGTCCTAATCAAACAGGAAAGACTAACTAGCTTTTTAGTCCCCGCACACGTGTCAGATCAGGTTGTCCTGATTCACGTGCAAAGCTCCGATACCAACTGTTACATGCACAGATATGCAATGTACATAATGACCGAGGAACTGCAGTGTGATGAACAGGACTGAATGGACAATACAGTGCGAGTAGAATCTCAACAGACAATGTGCATTCTCATACATACAAAAGGTGCTGAATAGCGCAGGGAAGACTTTGATACAAAGACTTATCTGACAGGACTGACCTCTTTCACGTAGTTCAGAGTAACGAAGTAGAACGCTAGAGTACTACCAACTAGCCCAATCAATGTTTGAACTCAGACTTAAACATGCATTGTATCCATCACAAGTGTGAAGGAGCCTGGAGCTGTACACAAGAAGAAAACGCCAGGTCCAGACATACACAGACGAAGAGGTAAGGATCAGACGAAAGGAGGGAGGAAGATGGGAATGTCATTAACACCAAGTCTTGGTCACCAATCCCAAATAGTCCCTCGTTGCCATGTCTGAACCCCCGAAAGTCGAGTCTGGATCAAATGTCACCAAGCTCCGTATCTCTTCTCTCATAATCTGCAGATGCAGTGAAGTCAGAAGTGAGAGGGAGAGAAGAGATGGTGGAATGAGAAGAAGGAGAAGAAGAAGAACTCTCTCTCTCTCTCTCCGTTACGAACCAGATACTAACCTGTGGTGTTGGCGCTGTGCTGCAGGTACCATGAAGACGAAGCTGGAGCAACGGCGCTGCAGGTAGGTACCTCTGGCCTCCGCCCAAGCTCTCTCTCTCTCTCTCTTTCTCTCTAGTACTACCTAGCTATGGCGCCCAGCGCTGGAGACTACAGCTACCTACTGCGCCCAGCGCTGAAGACTACTAGCTAACGCTACAACTACTACTACGCAGCGCTCCCTCCAGAGTGCTGCTCCCGAATCCTGAAGACTACAACTGACCGACTGCCTACCTCGGAAGTGCCTGGGAAGTCCTATGTACTACCTCGGCCTGCCTCCTGACTACTGGAGGCCAGTCAGGCCGAGGAGGCAGCTCTTGCCAATGCCGAAGTGTGCCAGGGGCTGGCATGCAGCAGCCTGCTTGGGGCTGGCGTGGGAAACAGACTAATAATAGTCTGTTTCCGAAACCCTGGTTCGGAACGACCGAAAATGGCCCTTCGTTTCAGGCTAAAAAGGCTGTTGCCATTTTTAGTCTGAAACGACCAGGGATAGGCCCTGGACTTCAGGCTTTCGGGCTGAGCCGACAGGGGGCCTGTAAGCCCTGGATTTCAGGCTTTCGGCCTAAAGTTCAGGCTTTTGGCCTGAACACCGTCGGGCCTGCAAAACGGCCCGTGTGTGCACGCGCTGCATGTAACAGTACCACTCGGATTGGCGCAGAGCAAGAAAGCACATCCAAGAAGACCCCACCAAAAAACAAGGGTACCTGTTGCGGCTTCGCTCGCAAAAAAAATGAAGGGCAAAAGATAGGGGGGATTTGCCGGGGGGAAGGGGAGCCAGGGTCGGGGGGGATTTGGCTCACATGTGTACTCCTGTTGACTCAGTCAATGGATTACTGCTGGAGGTCAGAAAGCCTTTGAAACAGTCTTTTTTTCTGTTTTTTTTTTTTTTGCTTTTTACATTTGCACGGGAGTTACTCCGAGAGACCTGTTGAGGCTGCAGGGTTTGGTGGGTTCGCGGGGAGGGAACATATACTACATTTGATCGTGTTGGGGGGGAGGCGTAGCTAGTTAGATTGGGGTGTCTCTCTCTCTCTCTATCTATCTATCTCGCGCGCGCTCGCGCTCGCACGTACGGTTTTTCCTTTTTTTCCATATAAAAAGGGGTCCCGATGGACCACGGACAGATACAAAA